TGTAACTGACCGTTTTGGATAGAATCCATGCTGTAGTGACAGATTAACAATCCGAATACGATGCCTCCGAAAAACGTTTCAAGTTTTCAATAGCATAACTTAGCCGTTTTTTGATGAACTTCAAAAACTGTGGTACTTCTATAATACCAAGGGTCTGTAGATTATTTTGATTGTAAAAAGATTAAAAATAGGGTCGTCTACTTTAGTCAAAAGCGACAAAAGTCGTTACACGTTTTTTTTTTAAAGGAGTGTTTATGGGTTTAGCAAGTGGCCTAAGATCCTTAAATAAGATTAATGGGCACAAATGTTCATATTTAGCCAGAATACAGTCATGGTTCCTATATATGGAACCTGGAGACAACGGAACGATTCGAAATTGGTCAATCCACGAAACTGATCCTAGAGCTCCGCGGTTTTTTCAAAAACATTAGGATATAAGAAAGAATTTGGGATCATTTCATAAACCTGGACCTGGATGGCCATAGGACCATCCTCCGGAAAATCCGAAACATCCATAAAAGTGGTCCATCCATGAAACTGATCCTAGATCTCCGCAGTTTTTTTTTTCGAAAACACGTGGAACTGTAATATAAGAAAGAATTTGGGGTCGTGACATAAACATGGACCCGGATGGCTATGGAACCGTCCTTCGGAAGATTCGGAGCATCGGTAAAATTGGTTTATCCATGAAACTGATTCTAGAGCTTAGCAGTTTTTTTAAATATCTTGGAACTGTGATATAAGAAAAAAAAAATTAGGTCGGGACGTAAACATGGACCTGGATGGGCATGAGACCGTCCTCTGGAAGATCTGGAACATCCTTAAAAGTGGTAAATCCATGAAACTGATTCTAGAGTTCCACAGTTTATTTCAAAAATATTAGGAGCTGTGTTATAAGAATGAATTTGGGGTCGTGACATAAACATTCAGAAGTGTTTCATACATGAAACTGTGAAAAAACAGTGATTTTTTAGAAAACTTCACAGTTTGAAGTGTTATCGAGAAAACCGCTAAGTTCTAGAATCAGTATTATTGATGCACCACTTTTACGGATCTCCCGGAAGACGGTTTCATTGTCATTCGGGTTCATGTTTATGTTACGACTCCAAATTATTTCTTATATCACAGTTCCACGTGTTTTCGAAAAAACCGTGGAACTCATGGATCAGTTTTATGGATTGACCATTTTACGGATGTTCCAGATCATCCATACGATCTGGAACAACCGTAAAAATCCCATGGCCATGCAGGTACATGTTTATGCCATGACTCCAAATTCTTATATCACAGTTCCTAATGCTTTTGAAAAAAAAAAAAAGCTGCGGAGCTCTAGGATCAGTTTCGTAGATTGACCACTTTTACGGATGTTCCTGATCTTTTCGAGGACAGTCTCATAGCTATCAGGGTCCATGTTTGTCAAGACTCCAAATTCATTCTATCATCACAGTTTTTTCTAAAACTGCGGAGCTCTAGGATCAGTTTCATGAATTGACCACTTTTACGGATGTTTTGGATCTTCCGGAGGACGGTATTATGGCCAAACAGGTCCATGTTTATGTCATGACCCCAAATTCTTTCTTATATCACAGTTCCTAATGCTTTCGAAAAAAAAAAACCGCGGAGCTCTAGGATCAGTTTCATTGATTGACCATTTTTAAGGATGTTCCAGATCTTCCGGAGGAGGGACCCATGTTTATGTCATGACCCCTAATTAATTTATAGATGACATTTCCAAGTGTTTTCGAAAAAAAAAACCGTGGAGCTTCACCAAAGGAGTGAGCAACGACTCCGAACACAGCTTCAGAACGGACGCAGGAATGCCGTCTGAGCCGGCAGCAAACGAGTGTTTCAAGCTTTGAAGATCTGTTCACTGATGTGAAATGGGCGGAGCTCAAATGCATCTCTTGGAGAATCACTTATAGCAATCGTGACTTGATTTGGTGAGGCCGAAGATTCATTGTTCTTTTTTGAGTTTACAAACGACCAGAAACGCTTTGGATATCTGCGAAGAGATGATTGCGTACGGAAGACATATAGTCGATATAGGAATCTGTTGTACAGCTTTCCCCCGAAGAACGCGTTACCCAATGAGTTGCACCCACCGCTTTGTCTCGGTGGGTATTCAACCAAGCGCTCTGATTGTGACGCTAGTGACGCTACTCACATGCAAAAAATCAGACCGACTGTTTGCAACCCCGCCGAGAAAAAGCGGTGTGTGCAACTCAGTGGGTAACGCGTTCTTCGGGGGATAGCTGTATATATTTACTACAGTCGTTACTTGTGCGGTTGAACTCCTGCTTCGTAATGTACGAACGATTTTGGCAGTATCTTCGTAGTGATTTTGTCCTATACCGTTTTAGTCGACGCAAGTTACTGTAAGATCACGGAGGATTTGGTGCGGAGCGAGCAATAGTTACAAATTCAGCCATTATGTCCCAAATCATTTGATTGAAATGTTCAACGGCATCGTCAACACATCTAGCTAATTCTAATGGTCACCAGTCGATGCCGGAAATGGCAGCACTAATCGCACCATAGTCGGCTCGACGTAAGTCCACTGTACGATTATTTACGGAACAATCATCAAAAACGATTGGCGCTTGGAGGTGCATCAGGACGTCTAAAAGTCGTCAAGAAAGATCAGAGGTTCTATGGCTTCCGAAACGGTGCATGCCAGAGTTGCAGCTTCGTTAGACAGGACGAGGTCTAGAATGCGAGCGTTCCTATTCGATACACCATTGATCTGCGTTAGTCCATTGAAAACGAAACCGTTGAACTAGTAGCCGATAGAACCGATTGAGGCTCAATCTGGAAAGACTCGTCGTCCGACTTCCTCCACCGGGCAAAGGCAGTGGATTCCAAATTGGAAACAATTGCTCCGATAGGGTTCTCATGGTTCTGCATACTAATGACATCTTTGCGGCGGTCAGGAGGTAAACATATCACGCCTACACTAATAAGTCGACTTGACGTAGTGATTCTAACCCACAGCTGCTCTAGAGCATCGGAAACAGGTGTCGGATCGATATAATTGTTCCAACGAGTTGAAACAGCGGTCAGGACACTGCCACCACGGGTTTTTGCACTGTTGGAGGTATTACGGTCTGTACGCACTTGGTTATTTGGCTGAGATCATTCCTTTTTATTTATTTATACAGTAACCCCTCCCTATCGTATAAACATCAATTCAGCTTATCGTTTACCAAAACGAACCTTGCTGCAAACCCTACCCTCTTACCCAACATCCCAGTGACTCCTCGTGGAAGTGCAGAGGATTTCTCGGCTTCCATCAAAGCGAGTGTCACGTCAACACATTCCTACTCATTCCTTTCTTGGCCTGCGTTCGGGCGCGGCCGGCGCTGGTATTGCCAAGTTTGAGATCACCATTTTTTACACATTGAGGATGATTGCTAGTCCCAAGCATCGTCTATTGATTCTCTGTGTAAGTACTGCTGATCTGGCAATAACAGAGTTGCAACCGTGGGCGGTCAATCATGCTCATACTCATGCTCAATCGACTAAATTTTCAATAGCGACCAAAAATATCCATTAGTACCGTCCGCGTTCATGTGACGCGTGACGCGTTCATCTATATAAAATTGATAAACAGCAGATTTTTAGCGATGGGTCCAATCTTAGATCCATAGGCCAACATTAGAGCCTTTTCCCCTATAACTATAACTTAACACACATGGTTGATTATTACAAAATCCTTAGCACTATAAGCACTCCTTCTAACACTTTAAAAAAATGGTCAATCTAATTAAAGCCACTGCGTTTAACGGTACCTATATTCTCGCACAAGGAATAAAACATAATTCGATTTGTACCACAGCTCTTGATTTTCCGCCCGGATCAGCGATGTAGTGCACTAATGAGTTGGTGGTTTTTGTATGTTTGTATGAGGGTACATTTATCTGTGCCCGAACGGCAGAAAATAACTTATCAATACCTAATTCTGTTCCTGATACCAATATTTTATGTTAATCAGCCTGACATAAGAGTAAATGCCAAAAGCATACCTGTGCGGTATTCCATTTTCATGATTTTGTATTTTAATGATTTACCAATTTAAGGTATCGAGATATTCGTTCCTGCTCGGGTGTTTGCAGTGAATTGCGCCATTAATTACCAGTAGCTTTCATTTCGTCAATCTCTGGAAAGGAGTTGTGGACACGGAAGAAAGTAGAAGCAGACAGTAAGTTACTTACTTGGAAGAATAAGAAGATCACATAAAAATCCTCTTCCAATGCTATTACAGAGCATTGTTTTATTCCCTTTGGCTCCGTAGAGTATTTTTTTTAGTGCAATGGGTTGAAACAAAAATAAAAAAAAAACGAATCTGGAAAATTTTCCAATGTCGTCGAATTTAAAAAATGTTTTCTGAGTTTCAGAAACGCTAATGTTTATAGAAGCCCATTACGCCAAACGCCTTAATGTCAAATGCTCATGAGGCCGATTTTTGGAAAGTTTCGTCAAAATGGATTTGGAAATCACAAACTTGAAACAAATTGGGATTAGGGAAATTCTAGATTCCAGGATTTAAATCATACACATTATACTGCCAGACCCGGATATTGAAAAGTTTCAGCCAGTTAACTTTATCGAGTTACCTTTCAATTTATCACATGTGTGGATAACCCAAAAATATTAAATCCCCCTTTTTCCGGTTAGAAATTTTACTTTCACTCGACGATGAGCAAACTTGACACACGCCTCCAGCAATAATGCCTATGTGCCACCGAAGAATGCCAATGTGTCCTTTGCCCAGGCAGGCTTGTCTTGTCATCGCCAGGCGACATCCTTTCTGGCCGCCCTTGTCAAACCACATGCTTAAAAAGACCGACCATGACCATCCATCACCCTTTCCTTTCCTTTGCTTCCTTTTCAGACAGAGCCTTGTTGACAGCGAATATTTTCGGAATCCTCCTCGCATTCCATTTTCTCCTGTAAGATACATGCAGCCATATTTGGGGAGAAGGTTGGCAGTCAGTACTCACCCGATAGGAAGCCAATCAACCAGATAACGGCTATGGATCGCCAGGCACGCTCCGGCCGTGGCTTGTACCGCAGGGGGAAGCAAATCGCATACCATCGATCGATCGAGATGAACGTCAGCGTCAGGACCGACACCGTCACCGAGACCGTCTGTAAGGAGAAGAAAGGGAAAATTGGAAATTGTAGGTTTACTGTAATGCTCCAGCGAGGCCTATGGCTTTTCATGAAAATCGAAGGAATGTGGGAAGTTGATTCCCTTTTCCGTGGGATGGAAATACATTTAGTCACATTTCGATGGGTGCCCCACACATTCCCATACCCAGTGACTTTTTTTTTCTTAATTGTGTTGATTATGAGCTATGCGAAAGTCATTAATATTTAATTTATAATTGCGGAGTTTATATTTTACTATGAGAATATAAATTATTCATTCATAGTCAGGGTAGCAAACACTAATATCAGATAAAAATAATAATTATGAATTCATTATACAGGGTTAGCGGCGCCGTTGGTGTAGTGGTAAAGGCCTGAGTTCAATCCCAGTCGGCACCGCCGGGATTTTCTGAGACAGCCGTTGGTCCCCGGTCCATGAGTTGATGGGTCGATAGGTAGGGTCTAGGTGTGGGAGCTGCCTCCCTGGCATCGGTAGCATTGGTACTTAGTATGGAAAACAAGATTGACGGAAAACAAATCAAGAAAAAAAATACAGGGTGTTCAGTGCCTTAGTGCAAATATGTTAAGAAGTGACGGAAGATCATATTTGGTGAGAAAAAATGTTCTACGCATATGGTCAAATCTCAAAGATAGCTGAGTTATAGAACTTTTTCTGTTTTGGTCTAAGCTTGAAATAAATTGGCTCTAACGCGAAAAATATGCCTCAGCACACAATTACCGCCTCCATTAGACAGCAGAATTTTCTACTAAATACTGTCTTTTCTACTTGAAGTAAGCTGCATTTAGTTACATTTTTGAAATTAACATGGCTGATTTTTTTTATAGCTTTATTAACAACATGGCTGGTGTTTTTCTACGTGTTTTCCCTTTTTATTTCAAAAGATTACCTAATAAAGTGTATTGTTTTGTCTTACCAAAATATGCTTCTCAAAGCGCTCTGCAACTCTCTCTTTGACACCAACTCTGATAGGTGTGACATTAGGGTGGGGCTTATTTTTAAATACCGTGCGGGGACATTTTTTCCCACGTGGAAGATTATTATTGGAACTAATTATATAACATATCGCAAATTGAGCTATTGTCGTTGAAATTTAGAGGGGTCTAAGTTCAAAATGTCGAACAATGAGGTTTTTCAAATAAATCATATGCTCAATATATCTCAAGAACGACTGAAGATATCGTAAAATGGACAAAATATTCGCCCTTGAGGGTCACAAAATCACGTGTTTACGTATATAAGCGTATGTTATATAAATGTCAACGAAAAAGGGCTAATTTTTTATATGCTACTTAACTAGTCCCAATAATAATTTCCCACACGGGAAAACATGTCTCCGAACGATTTTTAAAAATAAGCCCCACCTTTATTACACGTGGCAATCAAGTGTGCTGTGCGCGCTGCATGCAGACGTCAACTGCAACACACTCTGTGCTGAAACACAGCATGGCACACTGTTCGGCACGCTAGGGCACACGTTGACAAGCAGGACACAAATAACATAATATAAAACGGCATCACATCGACATACAGCAAAACATAAATTTTATCATGCAGGATGCACTTCAATCATGTCGGAAATCTCATGTAATTTTTATGGCCACTACAATAATCAAATGCAGTAAAACCAGGGTAATGTTAGCTCATGCACAGTATTAATGATAATTGTGTCCTCTTTGGCAAGTAATAATACACCACTTCTATGTAATATTAAAATTATTTTTTTGCTGTGGGCTCGAAAAATTTCATGAAAAAAAAAATCTGTAAGTATTTTTTGCACCATGCATCTCGCCAAAACCACAAATGTCATCCAATTGATCATTTTGTCAAGCTTCTGCATTCATGTTCCATCAGATGTCACAGCTGTTGTTTGCGGTGACATCTATCGGAAACTACTCACAATCTGTTTTCCTATAATTGTTCACAGAGGACACTGCAGTGTAAAACATGTATGGTACCTCTATATATGCATTTAGATTATTATTCGAAGTCCCTCCTTTTTTACACATTCTGCACACAAAATAGCCCACCTCACAGAATTTCCCGCCGAATTTTATGTATGGGGCGGGGCATAAAGTATCTTTTGCGCAGAATATGTAAAAAAGGAGGGACTTCAAATGTTAAAGCAAATGCATAGATAGAGGTACCAGACATGTTTTGTAGTGTCAGGTACTCTATTTTGTAATCTGTGCAAGGGAAATCACAAATCGAGTGTCAACAAAATACATGGCATGTTGAGAGATTCAGGTCGTGAGATAGAATTTTCTCTCTTAAAATTGAATTTTTTGGCTCTCTGGGAACTGGTAGTAAAGCAGGTAAAACTGTATGGGGAAAAATCATTTTTATTCAATTGTAGCTTGTTTAACAATAATTTCCGGGAGAAAACTGAACGACAAAGTCCCTGATTCATTTCTTTAGGTTGTCGTTCACTTTGTTTGACCTGAATATGCACCGAAAGCGAATTATTCCCACTTCTATCAATTTCTATATGGGGATTTTTATCACTTCCTACCAGCGGAACAGCGCCATCTCTGTGGAAAATGGTCGAACAAAATGATTAATTGCAGGTTCAAATCCCGGTATTGCCAAGGGTATTGTTTTTCCACAGATATTATTGGGTGTGGAGATCGACGGGAAATGCACAGGATGTCCATTAGAGTGATGCAAAATTTGAAATTTTCGCTCCACAATACTTAAACGATTCCAAATCTGATCCTGACTAACCTCTCAAAATTTAAACCCATTTGTTGAGAAACTGAGATGGCACATGAAGTTTGTATGGATGGGAATTACTATGGTAAAACCAAGATTTTTGTTCATGTCTATCTAATAATTCACCATATCGGTTTGCTTCAAAAAATTTCAACTGTACTTGTAGGAAATTTTCCCAGCTACAACTTTGTTGAAGACCATTTTTTGATTAAATGCAAGGATCGAAAGTTATCAATTGTTCAATGCGCTGATGTCTTATGATCATGCTCCATCAACTGATCAGCAGGCAACATTGGTGTTTCTGGGGCGTTGAATAGGACACAAAAATCATGGCTACTATGTCACACTGCAAAATACAGTGTTGCCTACAGAGCAGCTGCTTGATCCTGTCATAAGTTTACCAATCTCTTAAATAATTAATAACTTTTTTCTGTCTCGTTTTACATAGAAACGATTTTCAGCAAAGTTGTAGCTGAGAAAATTTTCTGTAAGAATTGCTATCGAACTGTTTCGCAGCTCAATATGGAAAAAGACTAGAAGGCAATGAACAAAAAGTTGAGATTTCCCATAGTTATTTACATGTAAACTTCAAATGGTTTGTGCGAAGTCTGTTTCTAACCAAATGAGTTGTAACTTTTGGAGGATAATCAGGACCCGATTTGAAACCATTTAAGCACTGTGGAGCGAAAAAGTCAAATTTTGCATCAGTCTAATGTCCATAGAAGTTCCTGCACTGCTAGGGGATGTACATAACATTTCCTCTGGTCTGCCCACTCACGTTCAAAGGAAAATGAAGGAAAATGTTTGCCATCAATGAAATTGAAAATGTAAACACAATCACAAAAGTCATTACAACTTCAGAGTTGCCAAACTCATGAGATATTGACACCTTGATTGGTACACTTCAGCCTACTTCGGTACGTTCGGCACAGCGCTTGCCACAGCTTTCGGCACAACTTAATCTCACTGCACAGAACACGGCATGCAGAGTTGAAGCCCCCTTGGTATAGATCAAAATTTCAACAAAACTAAACAGATAGTTGTGGAACGATTTAAGGGGCATTTTTTGGTTCGATTAAACAATACACTATATTACGTATTTTTTTTAAATAATAAGGGAAAACATGTAGAAAAACGCCAACTTTAGACATGTTTATCTCTAATATGTAACTAAATGCAGCTTACTTGAAGAAGGAAGGACACCATTGAGTAGAAAAATTCCTGAGATGTTCAATGAAGGCGATAATTTTGTGCTAAAAAGTATATTCTTTCGCATATTTGTATATTCGAGCTTGGGCCAATTTATGACAAACATACATACTTAATCACGGCTTCCCTGTTCGGTAATTTTGTTTACAGTTTAAGAAATGTAAATCACAAAAAATATCGAACATTCAGCTATTTTCCATAAAACTATTGATGTTCAGTAGCTTTTGCTACAAACTACTGAATACGGTAATAGCAAGTACTGAATTTTCGGTAAAATAACAGCTTTACGGTGAATGATTAAAACTCAGTAAAATAGAGTACCCAGTTTGCAGTATCCATTATGTTTTACTGAACAGTCATCAAACGAAATTCCAAAATTGTGGATTTCACCAGTAAGTCAATTCCTCCTCCAATTCACATTGCGCACTTGACCTAGGAAATCTGTGTGTGATATCAGAAAACCTTTGTGAAAATCTGTGAAACATCTGGAAGACAACGCAGGAGTGCAGAAACTGCCACGGAATTGAACAGTTTTAATTTGTCAATTGCGTAAACTGAAATAAAATTATGTTTTCAGTTTGATGTTGATATCAAAACTTGATTTAAATTTGCTGTCATTTTGATGCTAAACTTTGCTCGGGTATCCACTCCTGCATCAACCTCCAGATGTTTCTCTGATTTTGAAGCTAAAACAATAAACAAACATTGCCTGTTATACGGCTCCAGGCATAAACACGCAATCCGTCACACCAAGAAAGCCACCAACCGGCCAAACCACCAGGAAGCGCTCAATACGTTAACCTCAGTCCCCAAATAAAAATCATTAACTACCAGTGAATCAACTTTTTAGATAAATTTACTGACCTATTCAACAAAGTATTAAAATTAAAATACTGAAAAACACGACAAAGTAAACAAATAAATTACTGATATACATACTAAAAAATAACTATTTTTACACGAGACGTAATTCATCTTTGACGTAAATTATGGAACGTAAAGAAACATGTCATGTAAAATTAAGTGTTCCCAAACCGAAACTCGACGAAAAGTACGA